TTCTGCTTTAAGGGTTAAATAACTGATTTATCTTTTTCGTCAGCTGCTGGCTGACGTCTTTCTATTTTATATTACATAAATCTGTTTCCAATTTCTACCATTATATACAGTTTTATTCCTGACTTAATGCTGTTCACTCACCACATTCGGCCACTTCTTTCTTCCTTTTTCTGCGCGTGCTTCTTCTCCAACTGGTTCGCCTGCGACGACTATCTCTCTGAAGTGTCTCAGCCTCTGCCTTGTCCATTTCTTCGTGGTGTCCACGGCTTCTTCCCCTGTTCTCAGGCCCCACGTTGGGCGCCATTTTGTCGTGACCCAGCATGTCTCAGCCTTAGTCCATGAGGTTCTACCTGACTGGGGGTGTGTGGACCTGGAAGCTCCGAGCAACCCAACAGTGATAAAGACCAAACACAGGCATCTTGTCATCTTCAGAGAGCTCTCAGTTCCATGTTGTGGAACTAGAGTCATTTCTTTATTAGCCATCTTTTCTGGTGTTTCTTAACCATCCTGCTAATATCATGAGGCAACCATTTCTCTCTTTGTTCCCTGGCTGCTCTGGCTGTTTGCCTCTCTTCCTAACCTTCTATATTCACAAGTTATTCACATACCTCTCTCCTCTGCCCAGGTGAGGGCCTATTCAGATGCTTAGGCACATACAGATGCAAATAAGAGGCATATTACCCTCAGGCGATGGTAAACAGTAGTAGCCTTACTGACATTAACAATACAATAGTGGGCCGGAGCTTTCTGGTGCTCCATGTTTAGTGAGACCCAAGGCTGAATCTCAAAATATTCCATAGCGGAAATACTTTGGTCCCCCACACTACACCTTGTTTGCAGCTCCCCTTCACAGATATCCCACAGCTCTGGCATCTCCAACATCTTGGGGTCTCCAAGGCTTCACCATCACAACTGTAGTGGGCCCCTGAACTATAGTTAATACCATCTCATTAAAGCATTCTTAAGAAAATCTTTAAGTGCTAAAATTATCTTGGGTAAACTGGTTATGTAGACTAGCCATACATTTCCATACAGTGTGTCCCTGATCTTGAGGTTATGAGAACAGCCTGACCCTTAACTGCTGTCTCTCTGCTTCTGTATCAGTGCTTGCTTGCTTCCTGCAGATTTCACAGCTCCCTTTCTGAATGACACAATTAGGGCTTTTGTCTGTAAAAGCTCAAGCATATTGGAGGCAGCTGCTTCCCTGTACTCTGTATGGGACAGCCCTGCTTCCTTGTACTCTGTATGGGACAGCCCTGCTTCCCTGTACTCTGTAAGGGGTAGCCCTGTGGCAGGAAATACAGGCTCCATGTCACTCGACTAATTAAGGCCTCTGGGGTGCTCTCTTCAGGATCCTGTAACATCTGGAGGTCCCACTGAGATCCCTGAGATGGAGCTTCTCCTAGGCAAGGGTAAAGGTTGGTGAACCTAGGGGAGACCACTGAGAACTTTTCTTAACTCCAGGAATAACTACTCCTTACCAACCTGCCCTTAAAACTTCTAGAAGAAGTCCACATGTATACTTGTATTTGGGACCTCTGGAGGTAAGATTAACCTGGGTTTCTGGCCAATCTGGGGCACCAGTTGGGGGGCTTGTGTGAGAACTGAGTCTGGGATGTGGCTGGTATGCCACCACACACCCTCAGGACCTGGTTTGTCTTGGTGTCCACCAATCTGTATCCTGTGCCCACTGGTTTCGGGTTTGTTTTTCCAAGATAAGGTTTCTCTGTGTAGCCCTGGCTATTCTGAAACTTGCTCTGTAGACCAGGCTGGCCTCGAACTCAGAGATCTGCCTGCCTCTGCCTCCTGATTGCTGGGACTAAAGGCCTGTGCCACCACCACCTGACATGTAGGTTTTCATTGTCTCTGTCCCTTGTCTGTGCTTCTGTGGTCCCATTAATCTTACAGACAGACATGGAAAACTGAACATCACTGATGCTTTTTGACATCCCCCTTGTAATGAATGTTACAAAACTTTAAATCTGGCTTAAAAACAGGGGGATCCTGAGAGTGAGTCCACTTTTCCAGGGGAACTCTATTGGCCAGCTTTCTGTGTGTGTTGGTTAGTTACCTGGGTTACTCAACATCAAAGTTGTTGCCAGGGTTAGGCTATTGTTCCAGGACGACCTGGATACCCGGATCAGTTTCCCTACATTCCAGCATGGTTACACATCCTGGGAACATGGCTTTTCTGGCTGCTGGAGACCATAAACATGGTATCCAGAAGGTTTTAGCAATGTGGGAGAAAAAGTCCTTCATACTGCTAGAGAACACTGATCCCCCTCCCCTATGCCCTGCCTGTGACTCCTGAAACTACTGCTCCTGACTCTGTCCTTAGTTATTCCCACACCCACAGTGGGTCCTCCAATGCCCTACCTCCCTGCTCTTGGTTGTATCCAAGGCTTCTCTCCTCTGACTTGTCCTCACAGGACCCAGGTGGAGCCCCTCTGGGTCTTGGTTCCCCTCCCCTAAGGGAAGTCACAGGGGATGATGACACCTCTCCTAGAGCTAGCTCCATTTATGAGTTATGTCCCCATTTCCACCAGTGATCAGGCTACGGTGGTGGTGGTGGTGGTGGTACATGCCTTTGATCCCAGCACTGGGGAGACAGAGGCAGGTGGATGTCTGAGTTCAAGGCCAGCCTGGTCTAGTTTTAGGATACCAGGGATACATATGGAAAACCTCTTGACAAAAAAACAAAACAAACAAAAAATCAGGCTGTAGGCAAGCCTGTAGGGCATTTTATTTTCTTAATTAGTGATTGATTGGGGAGGGCCTAGTTCTTGTGGGTGTTTCTATCCCTGGGCTTATGGTCTTGGTTTTATAAGAAAGCTGACTGAACAAGCCATGGGGAGCAGCAAACCAGTAAGCAACACCCTCTATAGCCTCTGCATCAGCTCCTCCCTCCAGGCCCCTGCTGTATGAGTTCCTGTCCTGACTTCCTTTGATGAACAGTGTAATGGAAGTTTAAGCCAAATAAACCCTTTGCCCCCCAACTTGCTTTTTGGTCATGGTGTTTCATTGCAGCAATAGAAACCCTAACTAACTAAGACAACTCAATTCTAGGACAGAAATAAATAAAAAATCCCCTACAATAGGATAGTGTTTATATTCTAACACCTGGGTACAATCAGCTCATATTGTAAGTGCTGCTGACTTCTGTTAAAAGAGGGGTTAAATGCTCAAAGTGTGTTAGGTGCTTGTCTTGTGTCTGTTTGTAAACCTGTCCAGGACATTGCTAACTTAACAGGGCAGCCCTTCAATCAATTCTAAAGATCCTTAGAGTCGGGGAAGGGCTTCCAAAGACAAAGCAGTAGGTGCAATAGAACCCCACTCTCCCCGTGTTACAGTACATCCAAATGACATGTGCTAAAACACAAAACCACACCCCACACTCTCTGTTATAGTACATCCAAATGACCTGTGCTAAAATACAAAACCACGTGCCCCACAGGACTTCCCCAAGGGACAAATGAACTGTTCCCATACTGAGGCTATCCTCTATGGGATGGCCATATTCCTTTGCCTGAAAGGCGGTTTTTCACTTGTGAACAAAACACCTGTGATTATATTCCTGCTAACTTGTCTCACAACCTACTGTTGTTTAAGCAGAAAGCCCCACTAGGCTAGTGGTGGCACACACCTTTAATCCCAGCATTGGGGAGGCAGAAGCATGAAGATCTGAGTTCGGGGCCAGCCTGGTCTACAGACTGAGTTCCAGGACAGCCGGGGCCACACAGAGAAACCCTTTCTCAAAAAAATCAACGAAACAAAAAGAATACTTTGCTTTGCCATGTTAGTCTTGTAACTTGGGGTAGGCCACTTTGCCTCTAACACAGGAGGTATAAGTTCTCAGTGCATGGTAAAAATATGCAATCATATGAAATATTTGAAAAAGAAATGTAAGGAGGGAAAATTAGCAAATAGATTTGTACCCAAAAGACTTCATTGATTTCACTGACACTTTTTTGTATAAAATCTTCACAGTTTCCAAAAATGCCTGCTTGCCTCTGCGTCCCCAGTGCTGGGGTTACAAGCCTTCGACACCACAGCTGGCTTCATACAGACATTTTCACACAAGTATACATTATATGTTGAACATATTCCTTCAGGGCCCCCTATCCCGAGCTCAGAGCTCTTGTACAGCGCCTTAGCTCATCCTGGAGCTCACCATTGATGTTTTTCCAGCTGAATATCTTTTGTCTAAGAGAGATGTAAGAAGTGGGAGGCGCTGAGATGTGAATGTAGCATACACAAGTGGTCACTTTACTTTTCACTCTTCTTAAAAATTTACTATCTTCAAAGCCACAGAGAAACCCTGCCTCCAAAAACCAAAAAAAAAAAGAAAAGAAAAAGAAAAAAATTGCTATCATACATATGCAATATATTCTAAAAACTAGGATCAAAAGACAAAACAAAACCCCCAAACCAACCAAGCAACCTTGCCCAACCCAAACCAACAAATCCACACTCTCATTAACCAACTCCTTATTTCCACAAACAGCTAACCTTTCTCCTTTGCTGTGGCCTTCTGCTTTAAGGGAGGGAAGAGGGCCTTGTAGTGAAAAAACAGCTCTATTGAAAAGGGTATTTTTGTCCTGGCAGTGGTGGTGCACGCCTTTAATGTCCCCACTGGGGAAGCAGGAGCAGGAGAATCCGAGTTCGAGGCCAGCCTGGTCTACAGAGTGAGTTCCCGGGCAGCCAGGACTACACAGAGAAACCCTGTCTCGAGGGGAAAAAAAAAGATATTCTACTGGTAAGTAAACTGGAGGCTTTATCTTGGTTCTCTTCTTCGAATAAGCGAGACTATCAAGAAACGGGTTAGAAGACCATTAAAAAAGTCGAACTCTTCCAAAATGCTACTTCCAAACGTTAGAGGCGGACACGCGTTGCATGGCGGGATTTGCAGTCCCTTGGGGGGAGGGGCGCCAGTGAGACACGCGCGCCTGCGCAGAGTGACGCGGCGGCGTTCCTGGTGCATGCGCGCTGCTCCCGGCGCATGCGCGCCGCAGCGGCGCCGGGCCCGGTGTCTGTAGCCGCCGGTACGCGGTCCTTACTGAGAGAGAGAGCGAGGGAGCGAGACGGAGGCATGGCGGCGCCCACGTCGATCCTGGGGCCCCCGCCGGTCAGCCAGAGCGGCCCCGGCTCGATGGCGCCCTGGTGCTCTATGAGCAGCGGCCCGTCTCGCTACGTGCTCGGGATGCAGGAGCTGTTCCGAGGCCACAGCAAGACGCGCGAGTTCCCGGCGCACAGTGCCAAGGTGCACTCGGTGGCCTGGAGCTGCGACGGCCGTCGCTTGGCCTCGGGGTCCTTCGACAAGACGGCCAGCGTGTTCCTGCTGGAGAAGGACCGGCTGGGGGGCTGGCAGGGGCCGGGCCCGGCCGGGAAGAGGCGGACGTGGTGTGGGCACCGTCGTTGGTGGTGCGGTGAGCGGGCGAGGCCGCCCGGAGGAGCGCGGAGCGGGAACCTGGTGGCAGTTAGGCGGTGGCGAAGGGGCTGCGGGACGGAGAGGTGCAGTCAGGTGGCCTGCAGTGGTCAGGGTCTAGAGCAGCCCTGGGCGGGGAGTGCTGGCATCCCCACGGGGTCGAGAGGTTTTATTTGGAAACGATAGCGCCTCCTTTGGGAATGGACCGTTGGATTGGGATGATGATGGTGGTGGAAGAGGGGAGGGCAGGAAGGGCAAGAGAAGAGCCAGTGTCCAAGCTCAGAACAATTCACAGGGGCTGAAGTTCTGGAAAGGACTGGATTCTTTTGGATCGTCCACATCTTTGCCGGTTTCAGGGTACCACCGTTTGGATAAAAGTTAAGTTGCGTGTGGAGGCAGGTGCATCTGTGTGAAGTGACACCTGGATTCTGCTCTTTTAAGGTCAAAGAAAACAACTACCGGGGCCACGGAGATAGTGTGGATCAGCTCTGCTGGCACCCAAGCAACCCTGACCTCTTTGTCACCGCATCTGGAGATAAAACCATTCGCATCTGGGACGTGAGGACTACAAAGTGCATCGCCACTGTGAATACTAAAGGTAACTTCAGAGAGAGAGGAGCCTTAGGTAGAAAAGCTAATTATAGTTTCCAGAAACTGTTGACCGTGTTCTTTGCAGCTAGTGCCACAGAGTGGGTTATCAGGATGATGTATACATGTCCGTCTGGAGGAGACAAGGAAGAGTAGAATTTGAGCACGTTTTTTGATCATCTGTAGTAGTTACTGGTCAGAGCGGTGGAAACAATACAAAGAGGAGTAGTGTGTGTGAAGGCATAGAGGATTTAGGAGATTCTGGCAGGTTAGAATGGCTGAAACCTGGATGATCTTGGTTTCCAAGAAATGATTGGAAAGTTGTACATCACATTCAAACGCTGTTTTCTTGTTATATAATACCCTGTAAATCTTGAGTCTAGCATAATTGACTCTAAGAGGTCATCTACAATCTTTTAAGAAACATTTTTGTTGTTTTTAGATTTTTAATTTTTTTCAAATAATTTATTTACTTTTATTTGCATTGGTATTTTGCCAGCATATATGTCTGTGTGAGAGTGTCAGATCTTGGAGTTACAGACAGTATGAGCTGCCATGTGGGTGCTGGGAATTGAACCCAAGTCTTCTGGAAGATCAGTCAGTGCTCTTAACCGATGAGCCATCTCCCCAGCCCCAGATTTTTTTCTTTTTCTTTTTTTTTTTAATTCTTTTTATTTTTTATTTTAGATTTTTTTTTTTATTTTCAAGTATGTGTGCCTCATGTATGCAGGTGCCAGAAGAAAGCATCTTATCCCCTATAAATGTAGTTACAAAGGGTTGTGAACTGTGGGTGCTGGTGATTTAACTTGGGTCTCCTGGAAAACAACAAGTGCTCTTAAGTGCCGAACCATCTCTTCAGCCCCACAACAAAAATGTTTTTGTTTATTTATTTATTTTTAAACAAAGCATTTTTGCTTTGTTTTTTTTTGAGACAGGGTTTCTCTGTGTAGACCTGGGTGTTCTAGAGCTCTCTCTGTAGACCAGGCTATCCACTCAGAGATCCAACTCTCTCTGCCTTTGCCTCCTGAGTGCTGGAGTGAAAGGTGTGTGCCACCACCACCCTGCTCCGAAACAAATTCTGATAGATTTTTAAATGCACTATAGATAGTAAAGTGTGAAAGAAAAATGGCATTTTTGATTCCATGAAGTTGTGTGCAGTGTGGACGACTCCTGGACTTAGATGACAAGACTGGTTTCTGGGAGTGGTATGACGTGGTACTTTTGGACAAATGTTTAGCTGCCAGCAGCAGCTTTCTTCCATTGTCTTGGTGATTTGAGCACTGAAGAGAGCTCTGATCTTCTTTCTAGGGTAGCAGAATAAGCTTCTGGAGGAGGATGGGCAAGGATGATCTTGCTGATGGCTTGTGTCTGGGTTCCCAGGGGAGAACATTAATATCTGCTGGAGTCCCGATGGGCAGACCATTGCTGTGGGCAACAAGGATGATGTTGTCACCTTTATCGATGCCAAGACACACCGTTCCAAAGCGGAAGAGCAGTTCAAGTTTGAGGTCAATGAAATCTCCTGGAATAACGACAATAACATGTTCTTCCTGACCAATGGCAACGGTTGTATCAACATTCTCAGGTGAGGGGCTTCTGGCTAGAGGGACTGTTGTACCTCTGTACTGGGTGCTATGTCAGGTACATAGATGAGTTAAGTGTGAGCCTAACCTAGAAGACTTGAAAGAAAAAGTATTTAAAAATCCTAGTTTTTTTTAGGGGCACATTTGAGCCAGATATTCTGCATTTTATTGAGTTCTTACTGATATTGATTGTAAATGTTCACTTAATTATCAGATAGCTGGCCCAGGGGCTTAGTATACCTTGAATTCACTCCCTTAAAATTTCAGCTTAAATAGTATTTTCCCTCTAGCACAGTCACTTTCATCCTTTTCTGTTGTTTTTGTGTTTTGAGACAGGGTTTCTTTGGCTGTCCTGGAATTCACTTTGTAACCTTTCATCCTTCTATCCTGCTTTTTCTCCAAGATTAGAGGAGGGTTTTAATGTATCTTACACATTTCCTATAAGAAGCTCTTTTTTGTTTTGTTTTGTTTTTGAGACAGGGTTTCTCTGTGTAGCCCTGACTGTCCTGGAACTCCATCTGTAGATCAGGCTGGCCTCAAACTCACAGAGATCCACCTGCCTCTGCCTCTGCCTCCCGGAGTGCTGGGATTAAAGGCATGCGCCACCACTGCCTGGCCAGGAAGCATTTCTTAATTCTGTTTTATAATGTGTATTTATTTATTTCTATCATTATACTAGCAGTGTCATGGTGGAAAAGGACTGTGCCTGCCTTAATAGTGGGATCTCAGTAAATATTTGTTCTGTAAGTAAATGAAAATGTGGTACTAAAATTCAGGTCCATAAGAGCCTGTGCTTATTGCTGTGCCAGTGAGTAACGCATAGGTTCTGTGTGGGAGTTTGGAGTTGCTGTGAATCCCGAGTTAAACAAAACAAAACAAAATTCAACCTATTGGCTGTGGACATTGAAGGAGTTATATGTTAAAAACTTGTAGGTACTGTACTGTGTTTTTTTTTTTTTATTTCCTGTATTGAATAGTTTTGCTAGGTCTAACTAACTGTCTTGGATTCATCTTCTTGCTTCTGTGTCTTAGGTATGCCATTCTTACTTTTTTTTTTTTTTTGCTACAAGGTGGTGCTCTCAGAAAATCCAGAGAGGAAGTAATGTTCTATGACGTCACTAGTTTATCTTGGTGTTAAATGGTGTAGGTTCAACACTGTGAACCTGTGTGCTGTGCTGTGCTCCTTTAGTAGCTTGAGCAATTTTTTTTCCCCTTGACTTTAGGGAAGGTTTTTGTTGTGTTTTTTTCTCCCGGTGTTTCAGTGCCACAGTTCTCTTCTGCATGTTGATGCTGTGTGTCTTGTTTCTTAGCTACCCCGAACTGAAGCCTGTGCAGTCCATCAACGCCCACCCTTCTAACTGCATATGTATCAAGTTTGATCCCATGGGGAAGTATTTTGCCACAGGAAGCGCAGATGCTTTGGTTAGCCTCTGGGATGTCGATGAGTTAGTGTGTGTGCGGTGCTTCTCTAGGTAAGTGACTGCCAGCCTTTCCTGTTGGATATGTTAATTGTTCCTTCTTCCTTTGGGTGTTTCTGATGTTTCTGTCCATCCTCTCATAGGTTGGACTGGCCTGTGAGGACCCTCAGTTTTAGCCACGATGGGAAAATGCTGGCGTCAGCCTCAGAGGATCATTTCATTGACATAGCTGAAGTAGAGACAGGTGACTCGGATTGAATCCTTTGGGTTTGGTGTCTGGCCTCAGGCCTTTTCTTGTCAGGTTTGAGCTCTGCACACTGCTTCTTCACCAGCACTATCAGAAATGACTCTGTCTTATATGACTGTCAGTTTGGTGCAGTGATGGGATGGATGGATGGATAGACAGGAGAAACGTGCCGGGTTTGAAGGGAAGTGGTGTAGGGAAATACTTTGCATTTGCGTTAGTTCTTGTAAAAGTGTATTTTTTTCTGAGGCAGGGTCTCACTTTGTAACTCTCACTGTCCTGGAGCTCTGATGTAGATGAGGCTGGCCTTGAACTTACAGATTATCTATCTACCTCTGCTTCCTGAGTACTGAGATTAACGTGATACACTATCATGTCTGGCTGAAAGGTTTCTAAATAAGAGACCGAGAGCTGGGCATTTGTGCATGCTCCTTCCCAAACCCCACTGCCCCTCTGACCTCTCCCATCAGCGTTCTGTGTTCCTCAGTTTTGCTTCTACGTTGAAGTAATTTGTAACTACATGATTTTATGCATCTCTAAAATCTAGGGCCCCCAAATGAGAGAACACTTGGAGTATTCACCTTTCTGTTGAATTTTGCGTAGTTCTCACCAATTGTGATCATCTGTCCTGGCCCCTTTCCTGTAGCTGTGATAAAACGCCCTTACGGAAGCAGCTTGCGGGAGAAAGGACGGTCTGCTCCACAGTTAGGGAACAGTGTCTTGGCCAAGACAGGGAGCCACGGATGCAAGCCTGTGTGCAGCTTTCCTTCTCCTTTCACTCAGTCCAGGGCCAGTCCCCGAAACTCACATTCCGGTGGGGTGGGTCTTCCCCCTTCACGGAACCTGGTTAAAGCCTCTCACAGGCATGCCTCATCTAGACAGAAAAGGTTGTTGACAATTCAAACTGGCCAGCACAGTCCTAATGGTACCATCTACAGCATGCAGACTACTTCTGAGAGGACCATGGACCTGTGTGTTAGAGAGCTGGTTATTGGCCTTGGGTGAGCATTGGCAGCCATTCAACAATCAGGGTCATTAGGGCTGGCTTCTTAAACTCTCTCCAGTCATGGCCCAAAGGGGTCAGGTACAAAGTTGCCTGAGAATTTTCATGTGACCTTGGTTATATAGGTGTGTAGAGCAGGTGTACAAACCAGTTACAGATAGTAAGTGTTCTGGGGTTGAGCTCAGGTCACCAGGTTTGCTTAGTAAATGCCATTATCTGATGAGCTACTTTGCCAGCTTCATTTTTTTTTTTTTAGGTCCATAATTTAAAGCTAACTATTGCTAATTTTTTGTACATTTCTTCTTAGTCTTTTTTTCTGTATATACATTTTTTTTTTTTTTGGAGTAAATAACATTAGGAATAATTCCTGGAATATTTTTGATAGTTAAGTTTGAAACAAGGTAAGAATGAATTTTGGTTTTATTCCTGATATTGTATAGAATAGAACTTCTTTTTAATAAAGTTATTTTTCAGATATAGCACACAATTTTGTATTGGTCTGTTCGAGCTGGTGGCTTGGGATTGTAGCATCGTTCTCATACAGTCAGCACTGTATGTCATTTAGTGCTTAAGCTTTGCAGTAAATTGTTAGGGTATTTGTTCTAGGTGGGGTCACTGTTGCTATGATTAAACACTGTGACCACTGTTCATCATCAAAGGAAGTCAGGACAGGAACTCAAAAGGGCAGGAGCCTGGAAGCAGGAGCTGATGAGAGGCCATGGAGGGTATTGTTCACTGACTTGCTCCTTATGGCTTGCTCAGCCTGCTTTCTTATAGAAACTAAGACTTTCAACCCAGGGATGGTACCATCCAAAGTGGGTGGGGTCCTTCCCCATCAATCACTATGAAAATGCCCTATAGGTTTGCCTATAGTCAGATCTTATGCAGGCATCTTCTCAGTTGAAGCTCCCTTTTCTCCAGTGACTATAGCTTGTGTCAAGTTGACATAAACTAGCCAGCACAGGACTCATTTGTAAGGCTGCATGGTTACCTGGGAAACATTTCAGGATTTTCTTTTTCATTTTTTCTTTTTAAGAGTTTATTTATTTATTATGTATACAACATTCGGCTTCCATGTGTATCTGCACACCAGAAGAGGGCACCAGATCTCATAACGGATGGTTGTGAGCCACCATGTGGTTGCTGGGAATTGAACTCAGGACCTCTGGAAGAGCAGCCGGTGCACTTAACCTCTGAGCCATCTCTCCAGCTGAATTTTTTAGGACCAAGCCCCTCCCCTGTTGGTGTTTGATCTGTAGGTATGTCTGTGTCAGGGTGTTAGATCCCCTGGAACTGGAGTTATAGCCAGTTGTGAGCTGCTCTGTGGTTGCTGGGAATTGAACCCCGGTCCTCTGGAAGAACAGCTAGTGCTCTTAACCGCTGAGCCATCTCTCCAGCCCTCAGGCTTTTTCATGATTGCTTTGGTTTTCTTGAGTTGTGTGAAATTTTTATATTAACCAAACCCATAGCAAATGATATAGAATTAAACACCTAAAGAAGAGTGAGAGTTGTATAGTGGTGAATGCCCCAGACCAGACCACTGGGATGTCCACACAGCTTAGAGATTATTCAGACAAGTTATAGATAGCTGCCCCCACATGGAATTACTTTAAATACTTCATATACATGCTTACATCTTTATAGTATACAATGTAATTTTTTTGGCCATGTATTGACCTGTTAGATGTATACTACACTACAAGTCTTTTGTAAAAATTAAAAAAACAAAAACCATTTATTTGACTTGTATGGCTATTTTTCCTGCATGTATATCTATATCATGTGTGCCTTTTGCTCACAGTGGACAGCAGAGGGGGTTGGATCCCTGTAGACTGGCATTAAACAGATGGCTGTGAGCTGCCATATAGGTGTTGGGAATTGAACCTGAGTCCTTCAGAAGGCAAATGGCTTCATTTACTGTGTGTGCCGTTTCTGTAGGTGTCACTTTGTTAAGATACTGCTCCCCCCTCAGTCATAAAATAGTTTAAAAGCTGCCTTACAGGGAGAGGGCTGCCGCTGGCATTCAGTACAGGACAGGCTGGCTATGAGGCGCTCAGCATACGATAGCTGTAGATTGCTTTTTAAGGATTATAGAGTAGAGCTTCAGAGCCCGTCACCTCCTTGTGTGTGACATCTCTGAGTACTTAATGAATGTGCTACTTAACAGCATTCTTTACATTGGTTCCTATAGGAGACAAGCTGTGGGAGGTGCAGTGTGAGTCCCCGACCTTCACCGTGGCGTGGCACCCCAAGAGGCCTCTGCTGGCGTTTGCCTGTGATGACAAAGATGGCAAATATGACAGCAGTCGGGAAGCTGGAACTGTGAAGCTGTTTGGGCTTCCGAATGACTCCTGAGAGGGGGCCTGAGCAGAGGAGGTGCAGACTTTCATTTATATGGGACTGTGAAGCTGTTTGGGCTTCCGAATGACTCCTGAGAAGGGGCCTGAGCAGGGAAGATGCAGACTTTCATTTGTATAGTTTGATCTGTTCTCTTTGGACGTCGTGGGCAATCTAAATGTTTATAAATTGTAAAAATTACAAAAAACTTTGATTAGACTGTGCATCCCTAATCCTCTCTGAACTGATTTTACTGTGATAAGCGAGGGCTACTCTCCCCCAACCCCTTCTGGTTTTTGTTTTTGGTGTTTTTTTTTGTGTTAGCTGTTTTCCATTCTTACCCCTGTTGCCAGTTAGCTAATGAGGACTTTGTGCGTAAGTATGGTTCTTTACGGGAACAGAACTGATAGAAAACACACACACACACACACACACTCGGGATTTATCAGAATGGCTTACAGCTTGTTTTCTGAGTAGTGAATGACAGATGTCTCCTGATGGGAAGGCCAAGCCTGGATGGATGTTGCAGGCTTGAGACACTGGATAATCTGACATTGGAGTCCTGAGGAAGCCCTAGAGAGCTGCTGCTATGCTGAATCCTGAAGAAGTAGGTTCTAATACCAGAGAAGGAATGTCTCAGCAGCAGGACAGATGGACTTTGCAATGAGAGTGAGGACAGGCAGGCAAAAAGCAAAAGCTTCCTTTTTTCCATGTCTTTTTATAGGCTGCCACTAGAATATGTGGCCTAGGTTTAGGGTGGGTCTTCCCACCTCAAAAGATCAAGAAAAATCTCCATCAGGTGTGCCCAGCTGGTTGGGTTTCAGTGATTTCCAGATGCAGTCAAGTTAACACCCAAGAGTAACCATCACATGACTGTCACAGCATGCCCGCCGGGAGGGCCCTGTTTTCTGGATTCTGTATACGACAGAGTTCACTGTGTATGATGCTACATAGGCAGTATTTATTTAGAGGGAGCACAGCATAGGGATGGGATTTTTAAAAATAATTTTTAGAGTTGAGCATTTAATAAAACTGGCTTTTATTATGAAGCTTCTAAAGTTATGCTACTGTTTTTATCCCAGGAAGATTCTGTGATTTTTAAATTTTGTTTTGTTTTTAAATCTGAGAGGTAGGGAAAAAAATCTGAGAGGTAGAGTTTATAACCCTGTTTAATATCCTAACCAATAGCTCTGAACTGCAGTGTTGGGCTGTTGCAGTATTTGAAAGCTATTTGACTGCTGGGTGTGTGTCTGGCCTCATTCTGCCTGGTTTTGTAAATAATAAATTAGGGCAAACATAGAGAAACATTTTATTTTAAAGCAAACAAATACAAAATCAGATTGAGACAAATATCAATTAGAAAGTCAAGGTGGAGGAAATGTAACAGAAATGTGGAGAGACAGCTCAGAGGTTACAAGCACTGGCTGCTTTTCCAGAGGACCCTGGTTCAATTCCCACAACTGTATTTCCAGCTCCAGGGTATCCAGCACCCTCCTATAGACATACATGCAAGCAAAATACCAGTGCACATAAATAAAAAGGAGTTATTTTAAAAAAAGAACTATGTGAAGAGTGAGGACCTACATGGATGACTCAGCTAACATGACTTTGAACTTCCTTGACAGCAAACAGAAGATGGAGTTAAGTCTGTGCTAGTTCTCATCATGTCATCCGAGCCAGTCTGGAACTTGCTATGTAGCCCAAGTTGGCCTTGAATTCACAGTCCTCCTGAATGCTGTTACAGGCAGCTGTCACAGTTGTAGCGATCTTTCTAGAATAAGCACTGACACCAATGAGAGGAAGACAGAGGTCACTGGTGGACCAAAGCCAGGACAGCTCCCAAAATGCCTCAGGCCTGGGTCCAGTTTGCATTCTCATTTTATACTTTAAAACCACAAGGTGGTGTGAAGAAGCTGCCATGATTTTATGGAAGCATACTGGCTGTCAGGTTGTTAGGGCAACGACCCATTGTTTCAGCTTTTAGTCCAGGTCATTCTGTTCCAAGTAGTAAGTGAAGGCACGCTTGGCAAATAGGACAAGCAGTGCTTTAATAATCACTGAGTAAGTCAATAAATCAGCATCCAATAATTGGTCTTTTCTACCTTATTCTACTTCATCATACCTACCTTCTTTTAACTTAAAAAAGTTCAGTTTTCATTTTACATACCAATCCCAGTTCCCCTCCCTCTGCTTCTCTCCCCCTACCCCCCAATTCCTCCCTTTCTACCCTTCATCTACTCCTCAGAGGAGGTAAGGCCTTCCTTGGGGAGTCAACAAAGTCTGACATACCAAGTTGAGGCAGGACCAAGCCCCTCCCCTCATATCAAGGCTGAGCAAGGGATCCCACCATAAGGAATGGGCTCCAAAAAGCCAGTTCATGCAGCTGGGATGGGTCCTAGTGCCATTGTCATGATTCCCCTCCAACACATCCAGTCACATAACTCACCCACATTCGGAGGGTCTAGTTCGATCCCATGCAGGTTCCCCAGCTGTCAGTCCATAGTCACACTAGCTCCCACTGGCTCGGGCCATGCCTAGCTTCTTAAGAGAAACACTTGGCAGGGCTGGCGAGGTGGCTCAGTAGGGACACTGGATTCCAAACCCCATGACCTGTGTTCAGTCCTTAGGACCTGTGTGGAGGAAGCTTGTGCACAGCTCTAGAGCGTTGTCCTCTGGCCGCCGTGTTGCTGTTTCCATGGAGAAATTAGGCACTGCCAAACACCATGTTCACTATTACTACCAGCACTTAGTAAGCTCTTGTAGTTTTACATTTTTTACTGTTTTGAGACAAGGTCTTGCAGTGTAACCCTGTCTGAACTAGTACTCACCAGGGTAGCCTCTGAATTCAAAGCAGTCCTGCCTCAGTCTTCTGAGTGCTGGGGTTACAGATACATGCCTGACTTAAGTCCTAAAGATGTTTTTAGTTACGGCCTTCTCTGTGTCTGTATGATGAGCATTGGCTGTTGCCAGTTCTTGTTGCCTTCTGAGGGCGTTATTTTCAGCTTCACAATCTTGGGAATTATAGGTAACGCACTGCTAGTTATCACACAATCACATTCAGAGTCAGGTTTGCTGGAAGGCCCGTCTGGACCTTTACTTCGTTTCTTCAGATTGCCATTGGTGTTTCACAGGAAGGAGGCCGTGATTCTAAAACCTTGACTACTATCCCAGGTTAGTGAGGTGATTTGCTGGTCTCAATGTTGGGCTTGGTAATGTTTCTTCAGCTTCCCAGTAGCCTGAGCCTGTCACTTCCCTTGCTTGCCACCATTATTTAAATCCTGTACTCTTATTGTCACTAGAATACACTTGGACGCATTTGTATTTTCTAATTCCTGTGGTCACTGTGACCTATCTGTCACCCTCAGCATTGGAAAAGAATGTTAAGGGTGTGTGCAGTTGATTCCCTCCTCATCTATATGGGTTTTTTCCCTTCTTCAGTTTGGGTAAAGAGGTGCAACTACCTACCTGTCACTTAGAGATTAGCTGTTATCTACACTAGTCCGCTGGGGAGGAGCGCCCCCCAGTGGTGGTCTGTGCACAGCACTTGGACCCATCTCTGTCTAGGAAGTTTTGGAAGTCAAGTGCATCCAGAAGAATGACATTGTGTGTCCCAGACCTGATGCTTCTTCCCTTCACTTCTTCTTTGAGTGCATTCTGTAGTAAGAGCTGGTGGGAGGCTGCAGGTTGGCCAAGGACTGGATTTTAGTTGGCAAGGTAAGACTGGGATTTACTATTCCCTGACCTATCTTGGTATTGACCTGAAGGAAAAAAAAGCTAAAGGGTAGGAACTTTTATCTGGGCATGGTGGCTCACACCTTTGGTTCTAGCACAAGAGGCAGAGGCCAGCCTAGTCTACAGCGTTTCAGGCTAGCCAGAACTCCAGTACTTCTGTGGCAGCCCTGGGACTGTGATGGCATGAGATGCAGGAAGGATCCCCCTTGCCACAAGGTGAGATTGCATGAGGTGGGTGTGTGAAGAGGCTTTGTCCTGCCTCTCTAACCCACGCCAGGACAAGGCTTGCTAGACAGTCCTGGCAGGGAATTAGGAGAAGGGCAGGGAGTCCTGATCAGACGCTGGTGTCCCCAAGGATGGAGAAATGGATCAAAGGAGCAGGCTGAGCCCAGTGAAGGTCACTGCTCACAGATGACAGGTGTGGTGTGTCACAAGAGAAGAAGGAAGCAGCAATCCTGAAAGCTCTGTGAGTGCCCACAGGCCCTGTGTGTGCCAGGAGCTGGCTGCAGTCGTGTGGTATGTGGATGGGCTTGGTTTAAAGAGTGGTAGGGAGGGGCTGGAGAGATGGCTCAGTAGCTAAGAGCACTTGCTGCCCATGCAGAGGACCCAGGTTCTGTTCCAAGCACCCATGTGGTGTCTCACAGCTCTCTGTAACTCCAGTTCCAGCAGGCTCACACCATCTCAGGTTTCCAAAGACACTGTACATGTGACACACACATATACATGGAGATAAGACACTCATAAAATACATAAACATAAAATACATCAAATATAGGAATATAGCAAGTGTTAGGTATGTTCTTGAGTCCCTTAACTCTCTGAAGGGCAGATTCCATTCCATTCCATTCACCCTGGAAAGAAAGAGCCATGGAATGCTGACCCTCTGTGGAAGGAGAAAACCCTCACAGAGCAAAAAGGTTCGCTCTGTCTCAAAGATTAGGGAGTCGGGATACCACTCACCAGTGCACTGCAGACTGGGCATACCCGTGAGCAGGAGAGCTCTTCCCTGTTCTCCCCTGACACTGCACAGTCCAAGTGACGCCTGTTACTCTGAACTTGCCGGTAGTGATGGACTGCAACCACCCTGATCACGAAGCTGTGGGCTTACGTCCCCTCCCCGTGGGCTGTGAGGAGAGGGAAATGAGGTAAAGTGTCTCCCACAGCACCTGGCACAGGGCGTGCTTGATAAATCCCTTCCCTGCAGTGAGATGGGGCAGCTCCCAGTGAGAGCACAGAGGCTGGCTCCAGAGACCTGTCACTTGTCCCCCCCGCCCCCCTCAGCTTGTGGGTCCTCCCACTCCCCACCCCACAGCTGAACGGGCCACATTAGTCACTCGGGCAGCTGCTATGGAGAAGGCTCAGCCGTCACACCTGGAACAGCAGCTGGAACAGTGACATGGTAGAGGTGCCTTTTGCTTGCAGTCTGTTTGGGCCCATGATGGGTTTGTGTGTGGTGAACAGGACAATGTAACTCAAAACTGTGCCAGTAGCTAGTATGGGGAGGAGGGCAAA